ACCCAGGTGGAGCTCAGTTTCAGGATTTTACATGCAGGTTTACATTAAAGGTTTACTTACAGGTTTACATTACATGCATGTTGTTGTTGTTTAAGATTCGCTACTCGAAACAAGTTCCAAGTAGCACGGGCTATGGTGAGCCCGTAACTTACCTGGCACAGGAGCAGCTTTAGCTGCCTTGTCCTTATCGTCATGTAGACAACACTAATGTGAGGTGGTCTCCAAATGCGAGTCTGAGACCCCCCCCCCCCCCCCCCTCACACCTTTGTTAAATTTGCTGTCTAGTTATTGAATGTTTTTGCCACAAAAGGTTTTGTGTAATAGTGGCTTCATAGATTGTCTAACTCCTGTCCCTATAATTTGTACATTATTCCTGTGATCTATGTACACACATTCTTTTGAATAAACATTGTCATTATTATGGGTCCCGCTAGTAGAATCGGGTTCTTTTTCGACCCATTTGGGCGTCGGGGGCATTTCGTTTCACATAATGCCTCTGTTCACCTAGTAGCGAGTAGGTACTCAGGAGTTAGTCAGCTTGATGTGGGGGTTGCATCCTGGAGGGCAGCGTCAGTAATTCTGTCAGAAACGCTATGCGTTAGTCGCTTTGCAAGAATTAAAAAATACTAATCTGGTGTAATCTCACAACCACCATTGTACCGTCTTGTAAATAAATGTTATTATATCCCAATCAGTAAAAGTAATTGTGTCAGTAATTTTGCCCGAATCTCTATGCTGCGTTACAAGAATGTAAAATCACCAATGCTATATACTCTCGTAAACCCACTATATCTTCTTGTATATCAGTTAATACTAAATATCCCTCTCAAACTCAACTAGGTGAGTGAAACAATTTAGTTTAGTATGAAATATATTATGTTTTCATTTTCTGTGACAGCAATCTGAAGGAATTTAAAGAAAACGAAAGACCCTGTAGAGATCCCCAACTAGCCTCTCATCCGTCCCAAGCCTCTCATCTATCCGTAGCTTCTAATTCATCTCTACCTTCCCAACCGCCTATAGACTTCAGTCCATCCAGAGCCTCCCATCCACCCCCATACCTTCCATCCACCCAAGCCCCCCATCTACCCTTAGCTTTCCATTTAATTTATTTATTAATTTATTTATATATATACAAGGAGATACATTGGGTTTAAGAGAGTACATAGCAATGATATTTTACATTCTTGTAAAGCCACTAACATGCATAACGTTTCGGGAAGGTCCTTAATCTAACAGATAATTTGAAGTTGGTAATTTCTAGCAAACATGAGAAATGTTTTCAGGTACATTGTAAGAAAATTTGACGAGGATTAGCAGGTACATTGTAGTAAAAAAATTTGAAGATTATCAACAGGTACATTGTAGCATAATTTGAGGATTATTTCTAGGTATAATGTAGTAAAATATGCGTTCATTATAACAACTATTATATAAGATGATGCCAGTGATAGCACATATATTGGGGGAGTGGGTAGCACTAGACACAGTTCGAGTTTAAAGCACTAGGTAGGAAACTATGAGGATGAAATTAGGCACTTTTGGTGTTATTTTTATAAGAGATAGCTATGGTTAACAGTATCAAAGGCCTTTCTCAGGTCAATGAAGAGTCCTATCAGGAACTCATTTTTATCAAGGACTGAGTAGATTATATCATGCACACTAATAATTGCATCATTGGTACTCTTCTGGAAGCGGAAACCAAACAGACGGACTTAGTACGTTGAATTTTACGAGGTAGGAGTAGAACTATTTGTAAATAATGTTTTCAAATATTTTTGATAATATAGGTAGATTTTATATTGGTGTGTAATTAAATTGTAATCGAATTGTTGTGATTCAACCTCCTTGCGACCAAAAATGACCATTATTCCCTGAATGACCTTGCGAACCGCTGGCTGGTTACTCCCGTGAAGTCGCCATACTACGACGGCGCTGACCAATAGCAGCGCAGGATAGCGATGACGTCTCACGACAGGGTCATGAACGAGGCAGTAGCAGATGAACGGTCGTTCGAAGTGGGAGTGCTTCAATCCGGGCGCCATGTAGGAGAGGGTACCACGTCAGGAGAACTGTGGTGAGTTGGAAATAAAACTATGCCGCATGGTAATAACGTTTTTAATAACGGTAATAACGTCCCAACGTTTTCCCAAAGAGACAAAGGCCAGGGAGGTACGTCGTATCTTCAGCCATCCCTTGAACAGTACGGGCAACCGAGGCTACTGTTGAACAGTCAAGTGTGAACTGTATGTTCCTGTCTAAGCACTTAAGTGTGTATGGCAGCGCGTGACCTTGGTTGAGGGTCGGGTTGTGTTCAGAGTGCTAGCCAGACGCTCCAGAAGAGAATTACTGGTGTTGTTTTGATGATAACAGGTGGAGGTGTTGTGGTGATAACAGATGGAGGTGTTGTGAAGATAACGGGTGGAGGGGTTGTGATGATAACAGTTGTGAGGTGTCGTGATGATATATTTTCACATTTTTTAACGCTGGGTCTTTTAGTTCTGTCCCTCTCATAATACAGAAGGTGACGTACTCAACAAACACTGGCAACAAGGATGTGTTGGACCGTTCTACGTACACGGTAAAATGATTAGCAGACCACACAACCTCCCCACCCACCTAGCCTCTCGTCCATTCTTTAGCCTCTTGTCTACCCCTAGCCTCATGTCTACACCTAGCCTCTTGTCTATCCCTGGCCTCTTGTCCACTCCTAGCCTCTCGTCCGCCCCTTGCCTCTCGTTCACCCCTAGCCTCTCGTCCACCCCTAACCTCGACTCCTGGTTCAACCTTGACTACGACTAAACGTCTGGACACCTCCGCCTGGGAGCCGCCGGGTCACGTTCTGTTTTCGCGTTTTGGATTCGATACTGCCGTTCGGCATCCCTATCCAACTGTCCGGACGACGCCTGGTGCACCTATCCCTTAGGCTACGGGATTGTTGATATATTTTTTTAACGTTTTCTGGCTGGTTCTCCCGACGGGGTGACGGTGTCTGGAGCAGGGTTCGCTGAGAGATGCCAAGAGTTGTTGGGTCTTGGTGGGCTCCTGGTGTGCCCTCAGCCGTGGTGGGCGGCTGCATCAACGCAGGATGACTTACAAGAGTTACAAGAGTTGAGAGTTGAGACTTACAAGAGTTACAAGAGACTTTTGCGTTTTCGTTGTGGGCCGAGTATTTAGTTTTGACACCCAGTGTTCTCTCTGTGGGACGGGCGCGGTGCTCGTCGCCCTGAGGGACTCCAGGGGCTCCCCAATTATCTGCCTTCGGCTTTGCGATTAACCTTTAACGGGTACGCCGTGGCGCATCCGGGCCCAAGATCGACGTCGCTCTTAAATCAACAACACCCCTTAACCTCTTATCCGTCCCAAGACTGTAATCCATTGTTAGCTTTTGTTTCCATATTTTTTTTTATTGCATCATACATAATTATATGGACATTCCGTGGACGGAATAATCTATAAATATAATTAAATGACATATAGCAACAGACTCCATAACAACAGTGTGTGTTAGATTGGATGCATTTGTCTGGCTTTCTTCGTACACTGCATATTGCGATATTATTGGATACAATAATATTTTTAAATAATCTCCGATATGGTATTGTTTGTAATAAACATGGAAGAGCAAATGTCATGACGAAACAGATGTTTCTGTTCACAAGAAATAAAATGTGTAAAACTCGGGAGTGTACGTGGCGACTGTTGTGGGTTGCATCTTGGGGAAGATTAGCAGTTGGCCTAACCTTGATATGACTAACAGGATTCCTGTCCCCGACTATAGGAAACCATAAGATGAACTATATGTTGCGTTGATATATCATTTCATGTATTAAAATAGTTAGCCATAAACATTTTCTATAACTTAGAATTTTGTAACAGAACCTGTTATTGTTTGGTAAACTATTGTAAACATTTCAGTTAATTTTTGATTTTGCATTTTAATTTTACAGTTTTGTCTACATAATGACTCACTAATATCAGTTTAAACAATATTACTTACCTCCACTGAATAGGAAAGCATACGTGTATTGAGCACCCCCATAATTATCTTGTTAGAGGTAGCTTATTGTGGACTCTATACTCATCCTACAATCAGTAGTGTATTGGACACCCTATATTTCTCCCCTCAGTGGTAATTTATTGTGCATACTCGTATTAGTGAGCAGCTATTTATGCTACACTTAATATCTAACCTGGTTCACAACCTGGACACTCTCCGTCCCTTTTAGACAACACTAGACCATGGCAACACTTGGCCAATATTACCCAGGCTCCAAAACTACACTGCAACCACTATTTCTCCTAGCGTCATATCCTATCAAGAATATCCTATATTCCTACCCTTTAGTAGGTAGCAGACAATTACATGCACACACTCCATGATCGTTTCAGTCAATGACGCTGGCCAGGTTACATGCCTGACTCAGGAAAACGTCTTGTCTGTGCCCTACTGAAATGTTTTATTTCGGTCATGCATGGGTATGACTTTCTGAGGAATAGAGCCCCTACAACCATGTTATTGCATGTGCCCCCCCTCCATATATCAAAACATATCTAGATAGCGAAATTGGTAGCAGCCATATTATTATGACAAATACATGCATTCGTGCCACAAACCCTACATTGTTATTCTCAGTTAAAACTTCATGTAAATGATAACTGGAGACAGTTCTACGCACTCGTAAGTGAACCTATTTTGATAAAATACGGTGTTGTAGAACAGTTATATTAACCCATTAAATAATTTATAATTATATTAACCCATTAAATAATTTATAATTTCGTTGAATTTAATATTCAACATTCACTAAACAAACATTCCACGGAGCTCATTGTTGCCTTTTCCCTCTCCTGTCTGAATATTTAATTATGTAGATATGAGAAAATTAGTAGGAACCATAAGAATTGAAACCTGTTCAATGGATACTCCCAAGTTATTCCTAACAAATTTCAACATAAATGAAAATATGATCTTAAGGTTTATAAAGCAAACAATAAAATAATAAAACCAGTATAATAAACAATTTATATTGTTGATGCCTTCGTCATTTAATAAATGCAAACAGATCAATTCTTACATAATAATGGCCTTCGTCTTAAGTGAATAAAAAATCCCTGTCTGAGAGGTGTTAAGGAAATGTAATCTTCTAAAAATAGGTGAAATGTTTTAACAACAGAAAGTTTGCTAAATATACAACATAATTAGTATACAAATTTCTCATTGCAAACATTAGATGGATATCCATTATTCACCATTTATTAAAAATATTTGTCATGAAGCAGACATTTGTTCCCAAACAGCAAACAATTGAAAATAATCTACACGAAAGGCACACAATTATTTATATTAAACTTAATACATGGGAACTCCTAATCAAAGCAAATCCAGTGCAGTCTCATCACATCGCCATCAGTAAGTTAGATCCGACCCCAAGTTCATGGAAGTATATAATGGAGTTGAGAAAGTCTCCGAGAGGATCCGGCGAGCAAAATCATCGTGGTTACTATTAATACAATTAAGAGCCGTCGAGATGACATTGATGATACGACTCCATTCATTGTTGTTGGGAACTGACCGCCGGAGAGTTGGTCCATCAGCGTTGAAGGCGTTCAGGGATGTGATCAGATCTGCCCTGGACATGGTCGAGGCGTGTTGGAACACACAACAGTAATAGCTGAAGAGCGCTGAAAGAAGCGAAACAACGTGTTAACAGGTTCCAGATGGAAGGTCCCAGCTGGACTAATTTACAAGCCAAATTATATATATTTATCTCATTTGTTATCTTATGAAATGATAAAGCTTTTCATTACATTATATATAAGATTTGATTTATTTTTAATTTAAGCATACAAATATATATATATATATATATATATATATATATATATATATATATATATATATATATATATATATATATATATATATATATATATATATATATATATATATATATATATATATATAATGTCGTACCTAGTAGCCAGAACGCACTTCTCAGCCTACTATGCAAGGCCCGATTTGCCTAATAAGCCAAGTTTTCCTGAATTAATATATTTTCTCAATTTTTTTTCTTATGAAATGATAAAACTTCCCATTTCATTATGTATGAGGTCAATTTTTTTTATTGGAGTTAAAATTAACGTAGATATATGACCGAACCTAACCAACCCTACCTAACCTAACCTAACCTATCTTTTTAGGTTAGGTTAGGATAGGTAGCCTAAAAAGTTAGGTTAGGTTAGGTTAGGTAGGTTAGGCAGTCGAAAAACAATTAATTCATGAAAACTTGGCTTATTAGGCAAATCGGGCCTTGCATAGTAGGCTGAGAAGTGCGTTCTGGCTACTAGGTACGACATATGTGTGTATATATATATATATATATATATATATATATATATATATATATATATATATATAAGCTTCTGTTATAACAGAAGTTTTTTAACAGCTTCTGTTAAAGGAAAAAGTCCCTTATCAGAAGCTGTATTGGTTCGGAAAATCCCTCTTGTGCATTCATTTGACGAAAGCTATCTGTGGTTAATGAAGGTATTAAACAATAAATATTAACTTGATAAAAACATGTTAAATGATTAACAATGATATATATCAAACATGTTATTAAGTGTTACTTACAATCATCGATGCCCTGGCTAGCGAGTGTTGGAGAACCAGGCATCATCACCATCATCACCACCATCACCATCATCACCATCTTTACTCTCATGGTGAGCGACTCCGACCCCACCAACACCTGCCCACAACACATGCACGTAGAGTTAGCGAAGAATAGGGAGAGTTTTTTTTATAAGTAAGAGCAGTCACTAGTCATGAACACTTGCACATTTAGCGTTACCAATTCCAATGAAATAAGTTGATAATTAATACTAAATAATGATCCAGGTAACAAGGAAATGATAATTATAAATTAAATATTCAACACACAAAGGACATAACACTTATTATAAATTTCAACACAAGTTGAAGACTAATTTCAAAGAGTTTCAAGGAAAGGAACACACACACACACACACACACACACACACACACACACACACACACACACACAGAACTTGGTGGGTACAACTAGGTTATAATAATAATAATTTTTATTTAGGCAAAGGTACATACATAAAGAGATTTTACAAAGTTTGTTGGCTTTATAGATAGAGCTAGTACATACAATGCCTAAGGCCACTATTACGCAAAGCGTTTCGGGCAGGTTAGTACACACATACACAGAAACAGGAAATAACTAGGAAATGTTTGAGGAACTAAACCACATTCCGTGGAGAATTCATGACTCAGCCGGAACAACTTCCAGTACTGGACGAAGGACTGACAAATATTGAGGAAAGAACAAGGGAAGTAGAGAGACAACTAGTGGCTTAGATTGAACAAAAGCTATTGGCCCAGGTAATGTGTCACTATTGATGTTAGAAGCTAATGGACCAGATAATGTATCGCTATTGATGTCAACAGAAGCTGCACACACCATTTGTTTACTTCTAAGTCCATTTTGTAAAGATGTATTTCCTGCTGGAAGATTTGCCCCTCTGCTAGAAGACGGCAAGTGTCGAACACACATACACGGAAAGTTATGTCTAACTTCCCCACAACTTTTATGCAACTACCGAAGTCGACAACGGATGCCGGAATCACCAAGATTAAAAATTAAAATCTGTATCTCATATGATTCCCATATAAACAAAATGCTGACACACTCTGTGTGAATAAATCCACAAGGGCCGTGACGAGGATTCGAACCTGCAATAGATTTGAATCCTCGTCACAGCCCTTGTTGATCTGTTCACACTCTGTGTGTCATAAATGCCCAGGCATACACAGTGTGGACACTCCTGGTGCCCAACACGGCGACCGTCTTCATAGATTCAGATGGATAACGGAGAAATGTTTTTAATCGTAAGATTCATGTGCTTCAACATACGTTTAACTCATCGTAAATGGCAAATTGCAGTTAATAATAGTTTTAGCTAACCTGTCCTCACACTTAACGCACCACAGTTCCTTCACTACCATTCTTAACGTAACATTTGCTGTAGTTCAGTATTATTAAAACCCCGAAATATTGACGTTTTCTGGGACAAATGAGCATCGACCTCGATACGTGAGGTTATGACGTTTCTGGTGAGGCAAAAACCACTTCATATATGACTCTTATCTACTGGTGAGAACTGACTATTCTAGCTATCCTACTCCATGGCGTCGCTGGCCTATCCTATCCTACTCCATTGCCTCGCTGGCCTATCCTATACTACACCATGGCCTCGCTGGCCTCTCTAGGTGATTCTAAAGAGATAAAGAAGTCTTGGGAACGGGACGGAGCCAAAAGCAGCGTCCTGTGCAACCCTACCTTATCTTGCGATGATTTCGGGGCTCAACGTCTCCGCGGCCCGGTCCTCGACCAGGCCTCTCTGGTCGAGGGAGGCCCAGTCCTCCCTAGACCACAATAATGTGGCCCATTGGTTAAGGTGCGCATCTGGGGTTACCCAGGACACTGGTTCGATTCCTGTCCTTCTCCAAATATTTTCTCATGGATTTGTTATTAAGATTTCACTGTACTCACCTAGTTGTGTTCCTTAAAGTCCACGAAAGTTAAAGCTGTGACGTCATGCACATGTACAGTATATATGCAACACAATTTTTTGTCTATAAGTTACGTTAGATTAAGATAAGAGAGGAGAGAATACAATCGTTTCGAGTGTAGCGATGATGCAGAATGGTGACGTCAATGTGACGTCATGGTTGTACACCTTGACGTCACACTTTGGGATTGCTGCCAAATCGTCAAGACAAGTTCAGGGAATCCTCGATCCGGAGCTGGAAGGCACGATGGCCGTGTCCTACTCTAATGTTAAGATTCTTTTCGAATCTTAACATAGAACTATCTTAGATTGCCAAGAAGAAAAAAAGACACTTTAAAGCGGAATTCTCTTGTATAAACTACAATACGAATAATCTTTTTACCTTCCATCTTGCAGCCACACGAAGAGCTTGTGAATATCACTGCTCTAACTTGACTCCACAACACTCGCAGATTCAGTAAAGTGTCCAAGATTGATATTCTTGCACACCCAAGTCAAACATCGAAGGTTAAAGTGTCACTACACGTGGATGGACATCTCGCACCTCACCAATAAAATAAAATAAGTAATCCTACCACTGGTTGTTCCAAGACCAAGGCTCGTGTCTATACGGTGGTTCAGGTACAGTTTCAGAGGCCATCGGCGTTACAACCTTCTCCTATCGCGTGTGGATGGGGACTGGACCCATGTCACCCCCAATGAGTTGAACCGAGAGTCAACGCGTTGCCATATTATTCATATTTTTGTTATTTATTCAGTTACTCTCATAAATACTTTTTCATATGATGAAGATAAGCTATCCCTACCTCGGTAAAATTATAAATGCTACATATCCATATATTGATGTACATTTAACAGATAAATAATTATAAATCGTGAGATACATGGGTAAAAAAACGACATCCGTTCATCAAAACGTTTTCTCAGTTTACTTCTATTTGTTACTTTTTCTTTATGAACAAACTTAGGTATTCACAGCAATTTGCTGCTACCCTATTCTATATGAAAGATTACACAGTGTAGATAAAAAACTTGCTATAAATTCGGATAATATTCCCATCTCACAGGACGGAAGGAAGTGCTGTACTCTTTCATCTGTATATACATCGTGTACTCCCATTATTTTAATATGACGGCTGTTCTTTGAATTCATTTAGACTCACTGGTTCCATTTCGTATGTGTTTTAACAGTTCAACTAACACAATATTGTTTTTGTTATCACGCAGAAGCTTTAGTCCCATCATAAGATTAATTTCAAATATTCTATATTGAATGCAATTTAATGTATATTTAGTTTTTTCCGCATATTGAAAACTTTGGTAGTTATAGGACAGCCAAGTATTATTCTGAGTGCTTCATTTTGCATTTTTTTCCAGTCTAACAATACTTTTGCCACTTTGCAGGACTAAAGCTGGTGCATGATAATCTATCAGAGACCTTATATATGCTAAATACATAATTTTTGCTATTCTAATATTAAAACCGTACTTAGGGCTGTACCCCACTACAGTTCTGAGAGCCTTGAGTCTGTCTCTACATTGTTGATGTAACTTATTGACTGCAGTTGAGGTATAAGGGACAGAGACACCAGGTATTTGAATGAAGAGATATAGTCAATTGATATGTTATCTATCTAAAGTTTCCCACTTTTGCGGTTGCCAATTTGTCTATTAGATACCGTAGTTTTAGCAGCTTTGATTACAAGACCAAGGCTCTCACAAGCTGTATGTATACAATTTAAGACTGTTTGCATTTCGCGGTGGGTTTTATTATATACAAGGATGTCATCTGCATAGCTAATAGTGATATTAGCCGGACTATTTGGGATTTATTTTAGTAAGGCATTAATCAGAACATTAAACAAGGTAGGACTGAGTACTCTCCCTTGTGGGGTGCCTAGTTGCATTAATTTTGTTTCATTCTTGTAGCCTTGGAACAGTGCAGAGGACTTCCGGTTGGTAAGATAGCCTCGTATCCATTGTAATATTTGTTCTACTATATCCATTCTCGCTAATTCATACATAATCACTTCCCTATTAGCAATATTAAAGGCATTTTCTAATCAAGACATGTTGTGTACTTGTGCCTTTTATCTCCATGAACAGTGAGAATGGTTGAGATACAGTTGTGTACACTTTTACCATGTGTGAAACCATTGATATCAGGTGACATGTTCTCTTTAACTCTGCACTATAATCTATTAAGCACCATTCTCTCAAAGGTTTTGTACATGCAACTGGTCAGTGAGATGGAACGAAAAGCATCAGGTTGGCCAGGCTTTGGTACAGATACAGTATGACTGCTGGTCCATGATACTGACAGCTGCCCAGTGATATAACTCGCATTAAACAGGTCTAATAATGGATTACCAAGTACATGTGTCTTAGTCTTAGTCTTATTAGTCTTATTAGTCTGATGTCTTATTAGTCTTAGAATATCAAAGGTGATACCGTCTTCACCAAGAACAGTGCTACTGACCCTGGAGATCTGTTTCTCTGTCCTGCATAATGTATGAAGGACGTAATCCTCTCTCTAACTCTCTCTCTCTCTCTCTCTCTCTCTCTCTCTCTCTCTCTCTCTCTCTCTCTCTCTCTCTCTCTCTCTCTCTCTCTCTCTCTCTCTTTCTATCTCTCTCTCTCTCTCTCTCCATAATGTATGTATGTATGCATATATGTTGGTCTGTGTTTCTATATGTATGTATGTATGACTGCAAGATTTTAAATTATTTTTACATAAAAATATATTTTTCATTATTGATAATATTTAGAGAAGCCGCACACTATCTGAAATAAAGGAATTGTAAAGAAGCAACGCGATGAACATCCAATGATATGATATAGATAAATTGATCGCTATTGATGCATTCGCTTGTATGTGGTTGGCATTAGTTTTTCTAATATTAGTTTCTTTACTATTTTTACTGCCTCGATAGATTTTGACAATTGCCGACAAATTTGACAATTCTTCTATAGTCAAGACAGTTGATAAAAAAAACTGGACAATCCTAAATTCACTAAAACACCGTCCTCCTATATACATCATATTTTATATGTTGAAGCTCTAAAATAAATTATGACTCGCCCATTTCATTCATTCACAATTTTGGCCGGCTTATCTGGTCAGTGTCTGCTGTACACAGATACAGCCCCGCTCCTGTGCCAGGTAAGTCCATGACGGGCTCACCATAGCCCGTGCTACTTGCAACTTTTTGCTCCGAGTAGCTGAATCTAAAACAACAACAAACATCGTCTGCTGAACCAAGGTCACGGCTACTTACCCCTTATATGACTGACGGAAATACTAGTGTCTCACAAGACTGCCTTTTGGAATTCTTTCACATAACTTTAAATTAGGCAGAAACCTGAAAAATTCGTATATGAGATCAAATGAGAATATCAATTTACCTTTTGTCTGAAGACTTGCTGGTGAATATCAGGTGTTTCACAGACTGGTTGATGATTCTTCAAATTCCAGTTGTATATTCAAGATTGATATGTTTTGAGTATGATGCACCAAGACAGTTTCAATCATCTAATATAATATACTAAACACCAACACAAGTGGTGTGATATATCAACGAGAAAGAACGTTCTAGTGGTTCCCAGAACGTTCTAGTGGGAAAGTATAATGTAGTATACTTTCCGCAGCTGCAACCGGTTATTGGATAATAATGTTTTCAGCTCACTTATATTTTTTCCACATTAGTCACTCAAAATATATATCTATATATATATATCAATAGACCCACGATCGGCTTTTCTTTCAAAGGAATGTTATACGGTGTAAGCCTTAGCCTTGAATCATGCACAGGTTTGTGAGAACATTGAAATTCCCGCCGAGACAACTATGTAACAGAGAACTGCCCGCGAACCTCTCAGCGCCACACCACAACCCACACTATTCAGTGGATGGAGCCGCTGTCGTTCATATGTGTCTCACGTCCGCACCACCAGGCTTAACTATTTACTTTTCCAACTACTTTAATAAATTAGCATTATTATTATTATCATTCTAGTAAATAAAACTGATCTGATTTGTATTGATTTAAGATATAAATATTCAATATGATCCTCTCAACAGTGATTAATTGTAGTTTTCGTGACACGAAACGTTTCATGCACCACCAGTTGCCAAGTTATTTGGATCTTGAGGTTATCTTGAGATGATTTCGGGGCTTTAGTGTCCCCGCGGCCCGGTCCTCGACCAGGCCTCCACCCCCAGGAAGCAGCCCTTGACAGCTGACTAACACCCAGGTACCTATTTTACTGCTAGGTAACAGGGGCATAGGATGAAAGAAACTCTGCCCATTGTTTCTCGCCGGCGCCTGGGATCGAACCCAGGACCACAGGATCACAAGTCCAGTGTGCTGTCAGCTCGGCCGACCGGCTCCCTAATCCAACCAGTTCCATCCAACAAGATCATTAGGTACTGCAGAGCATTTATTCATATTCAACTTGACACAATAATATTATATGAGTAACAACACTGAGGTAAGCCCCCTGATACCAGATATCAGGATGGAGAGATGTACATGTACTCAATATATATCACGGAGAACGTCCCAACCCAAGGTGGACAGACAACCGAATTTCCAAGCCTCATCCCTTCCTATCCTTCTTGCCCCATCCTTTCCAAGACCTTTGGACATCAAATATGAATCTGTTTCAGGAATTGTTACACAAGTCGGACTCTGCTATAATTGTAAAGTGCCTTATATAGTGACTGTTGTGAGCCTCTTGTTGAATCATTTGTGATACAAAAGATTATTGATGTGTGTATTTGTGTAGGTGATTAAATATGTATGTACATATATATGTATATGTATATATATGTACATGTATGTATGAGTATGTGTACATGTATATATATATATATATATATATAACATTAATAATTGTGTAACTAACGTAAAAAGATTGTTATTTGCTTAGCTAAACGAACTAGAGGGTTCAGTTCCAGAACCGATTATGTGCCTTTACACCACCGCCCACTGGGTGGGTATGGGGTGCATAATTGAAAAAAAGAAATTGAAATGCTAGCTTGATAATTTAACTCTGAAGAGACTTTTACTCTCGACTATCATTTATTAATCAGGAACTCTGTGGTAGAAAATAATAATAATAATAATAATAAAAGTTAGTTAATTAGTAATATCACTCTAAAAAGTATATTAGTAAAGTCCTTTAGTCAAGAAAATCAGGCATGCATGTCCTGTTTGTCATTATGTCAATTAGTCACTCAATAAAATCAGTCAACCCGTCAAATATGTTCCGTTATAAAAATCGAATTCTTATATAATTTTTGCTACGTAGTAAATCTAATCTGATCACGCACATCTGCACACAAACCTGTGTCCAAATAGTCCTCACACACTTAATGCACTCAAATATGTACGCCATAATACTGAGAGGAAAACTAAACACACACACACCTGTCTGGGGGGCCTCGCGGTTGAGTGGACAACGCTATGGCGTCCTAGTCCTAATGGTCCGGGTTTGATTCCCGGCGGAGGCAGACACAAATGGCAAAGTTTCTTTCACCCTGAAGCCCCTGATCCAGTAAATAGGTGCCTGGGAGTTAGACAGCTACTACGGGCAGTTTCCTGGAGATGTGTGTGTACTCACCTAGTTGTACTCACCTAGTTGTGTTTGCGGGGGATGAGCTCTGGCTCTTTGGTCCCGCCTCTCAACCGTCAATCAACAGGTGATTGTGTGTGCGTGTGTGTGTGTGTGTGTGTGTGTGTGTGTGTGTGTGTGTGTGAGTGAGTGTGTTATAGAGAAATATTTGTAGTAGACGTAATAGAGGAAAAATAGATTGGTTTAAAAGGCGGGGTCCAAGAGCTTAATAGCTTGATTCTGCAGACACAAACGGTAAATAAACTCACACACACACAAATCTACTTAATTTCCACGATAGCGCCACAAATTTTAAAAGTAAGAGATTGTAAGGTTGACTGCATTTATCTGGACCTAAAAATGGCTTTCGACAGTCGCACGTAAGAGGTTGTTCTGAAAACTGGAACATACTCGAGGAGTGACAAGGAGGCTTCTAACATTCTAAGATTATCTTACTGTCAGAAATTTGAAGGCAGTAATCAGAGGCAATGTATCAGACTGGAGAAACGTCAGGTGGAGTACCACAGGGTTCAGTTCATTCGCCAGTATTGCGCATTGTTTACAAACGCCAACATTGTCGGCATTTTCTGAAAAAGGGGTTCACTCATTATATTTGAACAGCCCAAACTAATAAACATTAGCAAAATACTCGTTAGTCCAAAAGCTGCACTCCCTGTTTATATAAAAAAAAACTTTACAATGACTCATAAATGGCTACTTTCGAAGTATTCTCGACAAGTGCTTCGCTCACTTCATATGTCTGAACCCCATTTCGCTAAATGCTTCACCAACGTAGTCTTATATACAAATAAATGCCAACAGCACCAGAGCACTTAACCTAAATTACGCCTAACTATATACTCAAACCCCATACATAAAACTATCATTAAACCCAATACATAAAAAACTATTATTATTATTCAAGATAAGACGGCTTTTATAACACCTGACGAACAAATCTACATATTCGCCTTTGGGGACGACAACAGTTTGGACGAACTCGAGGATGGGGTTGCCTACGTTCCGTAAACACAAACATTCTTTGTAATAACAACAACACACTTGACTTGTACCATATATACCAAGACGTCTTTACAAAAAAATAAATATATAATAGTAATTATTATAATAAGTGTGCCTTGCAGATTATGTGCCTTCGCGAATTTCACCCTGAAACAAGAAGCAAACTGTATCTCATTCAGTTGGAACTTACTATCAACGTGTGTCCACTTATGACCAGGCATCATGAAGCAAAAGTTCTCAGTTCAGCTTCCCTATAGCAGGCGAAGGACCTACCGTGGTCCAGCTGGATGGCTGAACTCATCAACTTACTGAATTGCAGCAAATCCTCCCGCGGCTGTCCAACTGGAACCGACCAACGGGACTTGAAACCACCCAGCAACTTCTGCGAGTATTTAAGTTCACTCCTCCCTGTTCCCTATTGGGAAATCTCTTTCCACTTTATTCTTATCTTCATTCATTCGTTCTAAGAGATTTATTGAAATCAGCGATGTATAGATCGCAGGGTAAACGACATTGTGGGAAACGAGCCAAATGGTCGTTCTGGGGGAGGTGGGGAGGGGGAAGAGAGGCAGCAGAGTAGGGCAACACTACCTGAGGTGTCTACAGTGTTACCACCTTTGCCTCAGTCGTAAGGAGGCGTCGGCCACGTGTAGTCGGGGGGCTCTCTCACCTGGCCCTTGAATATCGTTGGTGGTGGTACCTTTGGTCACTGATATTATGGGTATCTGATATCATGGATGTCTGTATGTAAAAAGCGTCATTGATGTCATATAGGCATCTATGATATAATATAGACATCTGTGATATCAGATAATCATTTGCGAGATGTAATACTTTGAGCATCTGATAACGGGGATTATATAATCATTAATGTAAATATTTCTTGATTTTATTATATCACCCATACAATATTGTTTGAAGTTTAATTTATGGGTATTTAATACTGTTTATCCATTGTGAACGTTTAATATAAGAGATATATGTGTTTTTATATCTTACGTGTGAGTGGAACAAAACCTTTAATTTACAATGGAATCTTTGCCAGCGATTCGAAAATAGAATAATAAATAAGTGGATAAATGAAATATTTTCTGGTCTATATATGAACCCTTAAGTGACTCAATTGTTTTAACTGATGCTCGGGACCTTGAAAAAGGTTGTTAGTGCCATAATTGCACCGATTTCATCCACGTGAACAATGCGATGAGCCTGAATGACCTTCCTCGGCAGCTACGGATCCACTCTTGAGCCAGGTATGTTAACTGATTGATTACTGTAGCAACAGGCATGTGTGTACTGATAGGTTAAGTAGCACCAGTTATGTGTAATGATTGGTAAGGCAGTCCCAGGTATGTGCACTGATTGGTTACTCACTAAGCAATTTCCCCGAAAATAATAAAATAAATAGTTTTGACAAAACTGTCAATTATCTAATACAGCGTTAATACAGCGTCAATACAGCGTTAATACAGCGTCAATACAGCGTCAATACAGCGTTAATACAGCGTCAATACTGAGTCAATACAGCGTTAAAACCTTGTTTTCATAAATTAAATCGGCGGAAGAAAGTCTTTCTAGAGCATGTACATTCAACATTAGTCTAGATCTAATGCCACCTCTGTCCAACACGGTCAACCAAAGACGTAACTGCTCCTATTGTTAATGGTTGTCTGTTATTATTCTCAAATACTGGTGAGAAATATATTGGTATTTACGGATTCTGCATGATCTCATGAACAGGTATATTTACATTATAAAAAAAACATCACAGAATAAGAAGAATATATTAGTTGTTTTTTCTTCGCATTTTGTCAGAAGTTCGTACCTGATATGTAGATATACTGAACATACCATTGATATAAAATGGTGCATAAACTATGTTTTATTGTGTTAATGGTGTTTGTTGACTTCTTTAGAGTAGAACTTGAGTGTTGGATACATTGTGGCAAACATAACATAAGCGACAACCTGGTTGTGTTTTTTAACAGTTCATATAAATTGTCTATAATAAGATATATAATCTTAAATATTAATTAATTTAGTACCCATGTAGCACCCTCAAACTGCACTCTTGGCTTCCCTTTGCACTGCACTCGCCTGGCGTTCCGCGAGCGCTCTGTCATGGGTTCGTATCCTGGCCGGGGAGGATTTACTGGGCGCAATTCCTTAACTGTAGCCTCTGTTTAACGCAACAGTAAAATGTGTACTTGGATGAAAAAACGATTCTTCGCGGCGGGGATCGTATTCCAGGGACCT